ACATATGGAGGGTAAACAACACACTTCAAAATAACCAACAAATCATAGAAGAAATAAAAAAAAGAAACCAAAATATGCATAGAAACAAATGAAAATGAAAACACAACAACCCAAAACCATGGGATTCAGTAAAAGCAGTACTAAAAGGAAGATTCAAGGCAATACAAGCTTACCTCAAGAAACAAGAGAAAAATCAAATAAATAACCTAACTCTACACACAAATCAACTAGAAAAAGAACAAACGAAGAGCCTCAAGGTTAGTAGAAGGAAAGAAATCTTAAAAATTAGGACAGAAATGCAAAAGAAACAAAGGAGACCATAGCAAAAATCAACAAAGCTAAAAGCTGGTTCTTTGAGAAGATAAATAATATAGACAAACCATTATCCAGACTCATCAAGAAAAAAATTGAGAAGAATCAAATCAACAAAATTAGAAATGAAAATGGAGAAATCACAACAGACAACACAGAAATACAAAGGATCATGAGACTACTATCATCAACTATAAGCAAATAAAATGGACAACTTGGAAGAATTGAACAAATTGTTAGAAAAGTATAACTTTCCAAAACTGAACCAGGAAGAAATAGAAAATCTTAACAGACCCAGCAAAAGCACAGAAATTGAAACTGTAATCAGAAATCTTGCAACAAACAAAACCCCAGAACCAGACGGCTTCACAGCTGAATTCTTCCAAAAATTTAGAGAAGACCCAACACATATCCTACTCAAACTCAGAAAATTTTAGAGGAAGGTAAACTGTCAAACTCATTGTATGAGGCCACCATCACCCTAATACCAAAACCAGACAATGATGCCACAAAAAAGGAAACTACAGGCCAATATCACTGATGAACATAGATGCAGAAATCCTGAACAAAATTCTAGCAAAAAGAATTCAACAACATATTAAAAAGATCAGACATCAAGACCAAGTGGGCTTCATCCCAGGGATGCAAGGATTCTTCAATATTTGCAAATCAATCAATGTTATATACCACATTAACAAATTGAAAGATAAAACAGTATGATATTCTCAATAGATGCAGAGAAAGCCTTTGACATAATTCAACATCCATTTATGATAAAAACCCTCCAGAAAGCAGGCATAGAAGGAACATATCTCAATGCATTAAAAGCCATATATGATAAACCCACAGGAAACATTATTTCTCAATGGTGAAAAATTGAAAGTATTTCCCCTAAAGTCAGGAACAAGACAATGGTGCCCACTTTCACCACTACTATTCAACATAGTTTTGGCAGTCTTAACCACAGCAATCAGAGCAGAAAAAGAAATAAAAGGAATCCAGACTGGAAAAGAAGAAGTAAAACTCTCACTGTTTGCAGATGACATGATCCTCTACATAGAAAACCCTAAAGACTCCACCAGACTGTTACTAGAGCTAATCAGTGCATATAGTAAAGTTGCAGGATATAAAATCAACACACAGAAACCCCTTGCATTCCTATACACTACCAATGAGAAAACAGGAAGAGGAATTAAGGAAACAATTCCATTCACCATTGCAATGAAAAGAATAAAATACTGGGAAAACTGGTCAACCACTTGTAAAAGAATGAAACTAGAACACTTTCTAACACCATACACAAAAATAAACTCAAAAGGGATTAAAGATCTAAACATAAGACCAGAAACTATAAAACTCCTAGAGGAAAACATAGGCAAAACACTCTCGGACACAAATCACAGCAGGATCCTCTATGACCCATCTCCGAGAGTAATGGAAATAAAAGAAAAAATAAACAAATAGGACCTAATTAAACTTAAAAGCTTTTGCACAACGAAGGAAACTATAAGCAATGTGAAAAGACAGCTTTCAGAATTGAGAAAATAATAGCAAATGAAGCAACTGACAAAGAATTAATCTCAAAAATATACAAGCACTCCTGTAGCTCAATTCTAGAAAAATAAATGACCCAATCAAAAATGGGCCAAAGAACTAAATAGACATTTCTCCAAAGAAGACATACAGATGGCTAACAAACACATGAAAAAATGTTCAACATCACTCATTATCAGAGAAATGCAATTCAAAACCAAAATGATGTGTCATCTCATGCCAGTCAGAATGGCTGCTATCAAAATATCTACAAACAATAAGTGCTGGAGAGGGTTCAGAGATTAGGGAACCTTCTTACACTGTTGGTGGGAATGCAAACCAGTACAGCCACTATGGAGAACAGTGTGGAGATTCCTTAGAAAACTGGAAATAGAACTGCCATACGACCCAGCAATCCCACAGCTGGGCATACACACTGAGGAAACCAGAATTGAAAGAGACACGTGTACCCCACTGTTCATCGCAGCACTGTTTACAATGACAAGGACATGGAAGCAACCTAGATATCCATCGGCAGACGAATGGATAAGAAAGCAGTGGTACATATACACAATGGAACATTACTCAGCTATTAAAAAGAATACATTTGAATCAGTTCTAATGACGTGGGTGAAACTGGAGCCTATTATACAGTGAAGTAAATCAGAAAGAAAAACACCAATACAGTATATTAATGCATATATATGGAATTTAGAAAGATAGTAACGATGACCCTATATGGAAGACAGCAAAAGAGACACAGATGTAAAAAATGGACTTTTGGACTCTATGGGAGAAGGCAAGGGTGGGATGATTTGAGATAACAGCATTAAAACATGTTTATTATCATATGTGAAATAGATCACCAGTCCAGGTTTGATGCATGAGACAGGGTGCTAGGGCTCGTCCACTGGGATGACCCTGGGGGATGGGATGGGGATGGAGGGGGGAGGGGGGTTCAGGATGGGGAACACATGTATACCCATGGCTGATTCATGTCAAATGTATGGCAAAAACCACTACAATATTGTAAAGTAATTAGTCTTCAATTAAAATTAATTAATTAAAAAATTAAAAAATGTAACACATCTAAAAAAAAAAAAAGCTGAGACATTACCTTGCCAATAGGGGTCCTTCTAGTCAAAGCCATGGTTTTTCCAGTTGTCATGTATGGACATGTGAGTTTAAATATTAAGAAAGTTGAGTGCTGAAGAATTGATGTTTTTGAACTGTGGTGTTGGAGAAAACTCTTGAGAGTCCCTTGGGCTGCAAGGAGATCCAACCAGTCCATCCTAAAGGAAATCATTCCTGAATATTCATTGGAAGGACTGATGTTGAAATTGAAACTCCAATACTTTGGCCACCTGATGCCAAGAACTGACTCATTTGAAAAGACCCTGATGCTGGTAAAGACTGAAGGTGGGAGGAGAAGGGGACTACAGAGGATGAGATGGTTGGATGGCATCATGGACTCAATGGACACGAGTTTGTGTAAACTCTGGGAGTTTGCGATGGATAGGGAGGCCTGGCGTGCTGCAGTCCATGAGGTCGAAAAGAGTCGGACTCAACTGAGCAACTGAACTGAACTGAACTGGGCCTCAGATTAAAAAAAAAAAAGCTTCCTATAAAAACATAATAGAAAGAAAAACGTGTGATGTAAAAATTTTGATGAAGTTTGAATTGTTATGGATTAAAAACTTGATCTTTTAATCAAGAGAGCAGCAAGTGTCCATTATTAAAAGAGGGGACAGAAGGGATTAGTTAAACTGTCGATTTTTCACCAAGACACGTCCAACTCTTTTCGGACCCCATGGACTGTAGCCAGACAGGCTCCTCTGTCCATGGGATTTCTCAGGTAAGAGTACTGCAAAGGGTTGCCATTTCCTTCTCCAGGGAATCTTCTCGACCCAGGGATGGACCCACGTCTTCTGCATTGGCCGGCGTATTCTTTACCACTGAGCCACCAGGGAAGCCCATTTAAACTACAGGTATCCCATAATCTAGTCAGCCCTTGAAACCTTTCTCTTGCCAGATAATTCACCCTATGTTTATATCGATTCTCAACTCACTGATGACTGACAAATTGGAGGATCGTCATCAACATTAATAAGATCATTAGGCATCACAGGCCAAACCCATTACAGTGAGACTAGGCCACCACACTTAAATGCAAGCAGGCACACTAAGGCTTCTGGGCAGGCAAAAGGCATCTGCACCTTTTTCTCAGGAGAGTCCACTATAGTAATTTAGGATTTAACCTTATCACATTTCACCAGTACTGCTACCAGAGACCTCCACGTGCTTGAGAATCTAGAGTAAGCTGAGGAATGTTCTCATCATGCTGTGAGATTTGACATGAAATTTACCATGGTGTACCCAAAGCTGGAAGAGCAAAGAGTTGGTTTAGGTTGTGCACCTTATAGGGAGAACCCAGGAGTAGGTTGGGTCTTCCAGATTTCAATATAAATTGCATCATCCTCCAGGCCTTGCATTTCTAGGCTCAACAGTGCTAATCTGCTTTGACCCCACCTCTTACTCATTCTAGTCTCTGCACCAGCCTGAGGACATTGCTCAAGACAGTTCTGAATATAGAAGTCTCCAGGAAAATTTTTTAAAAGACATCCTTTTCCATAGTGTATTCTCTCAGGAATTTTCTGTCACCTATCAATCCAGCCATCCATCCATCCAATACACAGTGTTTAACACATGGTAAGTGCTAACTGCCATGCTTAGCACTGGGAGGGACTGGGGTATGTGTGTTTATTTTGGTACATACCATGAGGTTCCGGTTTATATTGCCGTTTAGTAGATAGATACCTAAGGTATTCATTCCAGCACTTTTTACTGAAGTGAACTGCCGTTTCCCTTGTATCTCTGAAGACCTCCTTGATTTCCTACTAATATTAACAGTGGAACTTATTTATGTATACGAGGCTCTGCCCCTGGGCGTTCTATTCTGTTCTAGAGACCCTGTACAAGAATATTTAAATCACGGTGGCGTTAAACACGTTTTAATATCTGATAGGGCCAGTTTCTGCGCAGTGCACATTTTTTTTTTTTTTTCCTCTTTCAGGAACGTGTTCGGGCCCGCGGCAGGGGGCGGGGTCGCGCCTCCTCCGCGGCTCTGGTTCCAGTGGAGCTTCACGGACGCAGACATGGAAATCCCGAGGCTGCTCCCAGCTCGCGGGATGCGACAAGGCGGAGGGGCTGGCAGCCCCGAAGGCGGCGGCCGGATCCGCGGAGGTCCTGACCTGCGGGCCAGTCAGGCCCCGGCGCGCCGCCTCCTGCTGCTCCGGGGCCCCCAAGATGGCGGGCCCAGGCGGCGGCGTGAGGAGGCCAGCGCGGCTTCTTCGTGCCCAGGCCCGGGCCCGAGCCCGTTGGCACTGAGGCCCAATGACGCTACCGGCTGCGGCAGCGGCGGCGGCAGCAGCGGCGGCGATGACTTCTTCCTGGTGCTACTGGACCCGGTGGGTGGAGACGTAGATACCGCGGGCGCTGGCCAGGCCGCAGGGCCCGTGTGGAGGGAGGAGGCCGGGCTGGGCCCAAGGCTTCTGGGGGGCGAAAGCGGCGCGAACCCCGAGGGCCGCCCTGCGCTGGGCCCCAGCTGCCTGTCGGCTATCCCCGCCCCAGTCCCGGCCTTGGCCCCGATCCCCGCTCCAGGCCTGGGCCCTGCCGCGGCCTTCGCAGGCACTGTCACCATTCACAACCAAAACCTGCTGTTGAGCTTGGAGAACGGCGTCCTCACTCTGGCCACGCCCCCACCGCCCGCCTGGGCGCCTGGGGTCGCCCCTGCCCCGCAGCCCGGGGGTCTGATAGCCCCGCAAGCTGGGATCCCGCACGCCGCGCAGCCTGGAGACTGTCCGGAGCTGCCGCCCGACCTCCTGCTGGCGGAGCGGGCAGAACCTGCGCCTGCCCCAGCGCCCAAGGAGGAGGCGGAGGGCCCGGCTGCTCTTGAGTGCCCCCGTGGGCCGTCAGGCCCGGGCCAGGGCGTGTTGCTGTACCTGTGTCCTGAGGTGCAGTGCGGACAAACCTTCGCAAAGAAGCACCAGCTGAAGGTGCACCTGCTGACGCACAGCAGCAGCCAGGGCCAGCGGCCCTTCAAGTGCCCCCTGGGTGGTTGCGGGTGGACCTTCACCACCTCCTACAAGCTCAAGAGGCACCTGCAGTCACACGACAAACTGAGGCCCTTTGGCTGCCCAGCAGAGGGCTGTGGCAAGAGCTTCACCACCGTGTATAACCTCAAAGCACACATGAAGGGCCACGAGCAGGAGAACTCATTCAAATGTGAGGTGTGTGAGGAGACCTTCCCCACGCAGGCCAAACTCAGCGCCCACCAGCGCAGCCACTTCGAGCCTGAGAGGCCCTACCAGTGTGCGTTTTCCGGCTGCAAGAAGACATTTATCACAGTGAGTGCCCTGTTTTCCCATAACCGCGCCCACTTCAGGGAACAGGAACTCTTTTCCTGTTCCTTTCCCGGCTGCAGTAAACAGTATGACAAGGCATGTAGGCTGAAAATTCACCTTCGGAGCCACACTGGTGAGAGACCGTTCCTTTGTGACTTTGAGGGCTGTGGCTGGAACTTCACTAGCATGTCCAAACTCCTAAGGCACAAACGGAAGCACGACGACGACCGGAGGTTCATGTGCCCCGTGGAAGGGTGTGGGAAATCTTTCACAAGGGCTGAACATCTGAAAGGTCACAGCATAACCCACCTGGGCACGAAGCCTTTTGTGTGCCCGGTGGAAGGTTGCTGTGCCAGGTTCTCTGCTCGCAGTAGTCTCTACATTCACTCCAAGAAACACTTGCAGGATGTGGACACTTGGAAAAGCCGATGCCCAGTCGCCACTTGTAATAAACTCTTCACGTCCAAGCACAGCATGAAGACCCACATGTCCAAAAGGCACAACCTGCGCCAGGATCTCTTAGCTCAGCTGGAAGCTGCAAATTCTCTTACACCCAGCAGTGAACTTACCAGCCAGGGGCAGAGTGACCTCAGTGATGCTGAGCTTGTGTCTCTCTTCTCTGATGTGCCTGGTAATAGTTCTGCTGCAGTACTGGACACAGCATTGGTGAACTCTGGGATCTTGACTATTGATGTGGCTTCTGTGAACTCAACTCTGGCAGGAAACCTCCCTGCTAATAATAATAATTCCTTAGGGCAGGCGGTGGACCCTCAGGCCTTGATGGCCACCAGTGACCTTCCTCAAAGTTTGGATACCTCACTCTTCTTTGGAACGACGGCAGCAGGTTTTCAGCAGGGTCCCTTAGATATGGATGATGTCTCAAGTCTAAGTGCGGGGCCGTTGGCATCTCTGAGCTCTTTGGCTGTGAAAAACTCGAGTCAAGAGCCCCAAGCTTTGACCCCTAGCAGTAAGCTAACAGTAGACACAGATGCTCTGACTCCTTCAAGCACCCTTTGTGAAAACAGTGTCTCAGAACTACTGCCACCAACAAAAACGGAATGGAATGTACATCCGGACTCTGACTTCTTTGCACAGGAGGAAGAAACCCAGTTTGGATTCTCCAATCCAGTAGGAAACCATGGGTCTCAGAAAGAAACAGATCTTATCACAGTGACTGGCAGCTCATTTTTGGTATGAACTAAACTCTGTTCATTCCTTGCCACATGGCTTACTTTTATTGATGACACTCAATTTTGAGAATATTCTGGACTGAATGCTTAAATACAGTCATTTCTTATAGGTCTGAAGAAGAACAGAGCCCTGAGCTGCAAGTTTGGAGATTTAAATCTTGATCTTAGAGTCTGGAACTGGCAGGTTGTGTGACCTTGAACAAGTCACTTATCCTATCTGAGCCTTAATTTCCTTATTTATAAGATGAGGTGGTTTGAATAGATTGTTCATGAGGTCATTTTAGCTCTATTTTCTTGAGTTTGTGCTCTTTTGCGAAAATTTTAGGACTTTTTACAATGATTAACAACTGCATGTGCTGCTAATATAAGGAAAAGTGCACTGAGAGTTAATGATCTGAGAACATGGAACTGGTGTTTAACTTTAAAATTTTAGTGGAAATTTTTTGCAGTGCCAAAATCTCTCTAAAATCTAGTGGTAGTGCTTAAAAAAGAAAGCTGAAAGTCTGGGTTAGCTCTTTTTACATTTTTATCTTTCTAGCCTCGTTTCTTTTTTTTTTTTTTTTTATGGAAAGCTGTGTTGGCGACAGTGCCAAGTGTTTGATATGACTCAGAGTCAGAAATATTGACTTTGTGGTGTTGAAAAAGTGGCCTTAAATAAGTCATTTTCTCTTACTAACCCTTATTTCCCTAGGTGTCATGACTTCATTGTAATTTACACATACCTGATGCATTGTAGACTTCCTTTTCTATCCTATTAGTTAGGTTTGGAGGGAAAATGTTTTGTACTTTGGCATGCTTTAGTGAAATTTTATGACCTTTTCTGCCATCTCATTCCCTTCTTCAAAGAGAAACAATTAGCATAATTTAACATCATGTTGTGCAGACAATAATGCTTGATGCAGGTTAACAAACAGAAAAGGGAATCTCTGTCTCCCACAGATTAAGGAATTTTTACCACACAATTCTGTGACTTTGCCAACCTGTTCATTAGACCAGGACAGTGTTTTTGTTCTGCCTTCAAAGCTGTCTTGTAGAGTGACGGGAGAGCCTGTGGTTCCAAGAAAATCTGGAAATGGACCAGAGTAAGATTTTCTTCCCTCTGTGCTCCAGAGAGTTCACTGTTTGCCTTCTTCCAGAGTTGGAATGAGAGATTTACTTTGCATTTTGAGTAAATATTAGGTCTTACCTGAGCATAGCATTTTATAGTTTATGTAGCACTTTCACAACTGTTATATTTGATCCTCACGATATTTTGAGATAATTGTGGCAAAGTTGCAACTATAAGTCATATTAATATTTACCTAACTCGTGTCTGTGTTTGTGTGTGTGTGTGTGTGTGTGTGTGTGTGTGTGTGTATGCACATCAACTTTCATTCTACTCTTTAGAGTTTCATGGTAACTTTTGTTTATAACCACTTGTTCTGTTCCACCATAATTGATGTCTGTTACCTTCTGCCAGCTCTGCCCCCTCTCTAAACTATTCTCTCACATGTGCATTACATTCCTTGCCATGATCTCTGTTTTTTTAATTAGGTAAGTGTTTTTCATGGTCACCATCTCTCAACCGTTGAGGACATGGCCCATTTTTCAGTCCCAATATTTACTGCAAGTCTGAATTAAGAAATTATTTTCTGGAATTAGAGGTCAGAGTGTTTGTATATGAATCAAATAATAGTGAACATATTTTATGTAAGGTTTTAGTGAGACATGTAGTTTTTTATTTTTCTAATTTTTTTTTTTACTATGTAATTCTGCTAGCAAACACTATTGCTCTGAAGCATTCTAATCCAGTACTGTTTGTATGTACGTTTGTCGATAACAATTATCGTAGCACTTTGGCAGTGCACTTTATAATTTGCCATCTTGAAATGCATCTGTACTGTCTAATTTTTAAATTGGTTGTACTCATTCAGTGAAAAAGCAAAAAGTATACATCAGTTTGTAATCCAAAGAAATGGTCAGAGTGTAATTGTTTCTAACCGTTTAACAGTTCTCCCTCAGCACTTTCAAAATATTTTAAGCCCATTTTAGAAATGTGTTGTCATCACTTAAGTCCAAGAGGAAGGTCTTAAGCATCTGTTAATATATATAACCATAAAGATATTTTAAAATCCTGTCATTTTGTTTCTTTTATCCCTCATTAAAAATGATCTTAAAATATGCTTTTGTTATATTCTGTGGCATTGTCAAAGGACAGGCTCTATTTTTCTTGAAGATAAAAATGTTGTATTTATGGGCCCAATTGGTTTCTTTCAGTCAATTTGGTGAAAAGATTTCTCACTCAATACCTTTTTTCCAAACTGATGGTGAAAATAGCATGAAACTACAGTCAGAAGTATCACTACAAGCATTATGGTTAATTTTTGTTAGTGTTGACATAAATTTGCCATTCAGAAGAAAACAATGGGGTGTGATTTAATGTTATCTCATTTGCTTTTTGTGCTTTTTCAGTCTTTGATTTATTAAAATTTTACCAATTGAAATCCTAATAACAAAATACTTTGTAGAAAGGTTTGCATCCCCAGGGTGTTCATCATGAGTTAAAATACTTTTATTTTGACATTTTACCTTGATCTCACTATAGTATTACATAATTGAAAGCCATGAGTAATAGAAGTGAAACTTGATATGAGTCATTTTTCTCTGGATCAAATACTTCATATTCCTATCCATGAAAAATAAAAGAAGGGTATTTATGACTATTCCTTGATTCCAGATAAAGCATTGATTAATTCCCTGTTTATGAATATCCATAATCCCTTAGTAATTAGTGACATCAAACAGATCCACTTGATGATTTGGTAATAAAACCTAATTTGGTTGCAACTCACTCAAACTATTGATAACAGTGATGATTGAAGTATAAGACTGAGCTGAAATTTATGTAATTCATGGTTCTGAACAAAAGATTTGCTTAACAATTTTTTAGAAAGTGAAATATGTACATTTAGAGAACAGGTTATCAAGCACTTTGTCAGAACACAACTATATATTAAAAGCAAAACACTTATTACAAATGAATTTTTTATATTTTTCAAGTCTAAGTTGATTTGGTAACATTCTAAACTTATTGTATATTTCATGCTAATTTACTGCCTATATACAAAATACAAGACAGAAGAGTACTAGGGATTCAGATAAGAGGAATAAAATGTGAGCTACTTCTTAATTTTGGAGAGGAAATGCGAATTTACATTAAATATTTAACATCAAAACAATATCAGCAAGTGTGTTTTCAGACATTAAATTAATGGCTTGAGGGAAGGAGGAGCAATAGCTATGCTTTAATGTATTGTTAGATTTAATTACATAGATAAGAAAATAGATAAATTCCAGTCAGGAAAAAAAAAACACAAGGAAAGAATTTGAAATGCAATTGACCACAAAACACTTGGAAAGACAACTAGCTCAAATGCAGGATGCATGTTTGATAAGTGCTAGGTCTTAGGATTATATTGCAAATATGGAACCAATCTCTGAAGAACTATGAAAACCAGTCACACTGGATAAGACTTTATTCTGGACATGTTTAAGAGTCAGTGAAAATATTAATATTTAAGAAGAGAAGTTAAATGATGAACATATAGAAAGTTTAATATAGTAGACATGTACAATGTGAATTTGGTTAGGGGAAATAGGAAAATCATTTAGGACTCTACTGTAATAATTTCATGGTTCTGTGATGAAGGCTTGGACTGGAGTTGTGGCAGACAAGGACAGATGGAGATGTTTCTAAATTGGAGAAACATATAACTTGGTGGCTCACTGAATATATGAGACATCTATGAGAAAACACAGAAATGATACTTTAAGGATTTTTTTTGAAAACTAAAACTTACATTTCATTAACATAAACAAAAGGTTGGGTATTGACTTTTTTCAGAAATATATACTGAAAGAAAATTAATTTAGGGCATGTTTAATTTATTGAGAAGTGAATAATCAGTTTACCCTCAATAAACTATACATATTGTGGGTTATACACACCATTAGACAGGGGCCATTTCATCTCTCTTGGCTCCTTCATATAGTCTCAGATTTACATTTAATGTCTGTACACTGGTTTGCCTTTGAGTGTTAATATCTGCAGTCATCTTCAACCTGATACAACACCCTCCCACAATACTCTGCATCAAAATGTGCTATGTTACCTCGTCTGACAATATTTCCTTACAATTCTCTTCCCTACAATGGATATTCAAAAGATGTTTTATGTAGTACTTACTAATATAATAAATCACTTCTCCAGAATTGAGGGGTGCTGTGTAGTCATTACTTTCAATAGTTCCTCAATATAAACTCTGCTAGATTGAATTTTGCCTATATTTTTCTCATATGAGAAGAGATAGTACCAGAATTGTCCAAAACTAACTTCCATGTGATCCTTGGGGCTCCTTATTCATGATTCCCTCTGTGACTAACAATGTGGTGTAGGAACTCAGTCACAGGGATCACATCCTCTCCTATTTATATATACTAGCATATTTTCCCATTTTTTTTTGTTACCCTTACCACTAATGGTGATAACTCAGATGGAGTGGAATTCAAAGAAAGAACGAAAAAGTAGCATAAATAATTACATAGCAATTATGTTTTGTTTGATGGTGAATTTTTCCATCTGATGTTCTGTCATCAGCAGAACACTTCATCTCATTCTGATTTTCTGCTAACATTTCAGTCAGTTCAGTTCAGTCACTCAGTCATGTCCAACTCTTTGTGACCCCATAGACTGCAGCATGCCAGGCTTCCCTGTCCACCACCAAGTCCTGGAGCTTGCTCAAACTCATGTCCATCGAGTTGGTGATGCCATTCAATTATCTCATCCTCTGTTGTCCCCTTCTCCTCCTGCCTTCAGTCTTTCCCAGCATCAGGGTCTTTTCTAAGGAGTCAGGTCTCCGCATCAGGTGGGCAAAGTACTGGGGCTTCAGCTTCAGCATCAGTCCTGCCAATTAACATTCAGGGCTGATTTCCTTTTCAATTGACTGACTTGATCTCCTTGCAGCCCAA